GACACTCACGAGGCATGCCGAAGCCCCCTGGGGGACAATTGGGAGGAAGACCCGACATGATGCCTGGCAGTGGATGGAGTCCACACGGGGAGTTGCGGACCGTGCGATATCCAAAGCCGCGGAAATAAGCACAGTTGGATTAGAAAATATCGTGGAAAAGTGTTGCTGTGTGAAGAAATGCGATAATCGCCCGTGGTTATGTAGTCCGCGAGTGGACGGGTCACGGGAGGCTGAAGGCATGCTCCAGCCTCCCCCGCAGCACACTCTTTGATCCGATGGAGTCGCGCGCGAATAGGGTGATCAGATGAAAAGGGTGTGGGGGGAGGAGCGGAATGGCGGTTGGCGGGTAGAGGGGGGATGGGGGGAGGAGAGAGGGGATGGGAGGGAGCTTGGGGTTCGGGGGGGAGAAATGCTGCAGATTTGGCACGTCTCGGGGTATGGGATTGGCGGATTTCCGCAACGTTGGCACGCGAGTGGTCGTAGTTGCGCAAAACAGCAGCTGGCGGCAGCGCGGATGTGGAGCAGAGCGGAGGAGCAAGCAGAAATAAGAATCTCCGAGGCGCGATCGCGACCATGGGGGAGCAACCAGGTGCGGCTCAAATCAAAGCCATTCCAGCTTTCAAGGACCATTGAGGCCAATGACGACGGGTTTAAGCAAGGTGCTTAGGCATAAATGCACAGTCGTTTTCCTCCCCACACGGTACAGTCTAGAGGCTGTTAGCTAAACATCGTAGGCATGGTGAGGCAAAGGCCGTTTAAGTTCCATTTTGAGTGACCGACTGACTCCCTCGTGCGAACCCTGATCGATTGTTGCCTTGACGTGTCCCACGTGGTAAGAACACCAATCTGACATCGCCTCGTCAGCATCGATCTGTGGTGCCTTCTGTGGCTTTTGGGGAATGAGGAGGCGTGGTGCCTCCGACTTATAAGAGTCTTTTCCTTACCACGAGGAATCTCGTATTGGTTGATTTAAAGGCAATCCGTATTATCCACCAATGCGATAGTCACGGCGGTTGTCCCTTCAAAAGGTGGATGAGCGAGCAAACCCACCCATCCCATCCCATACCCATCCCATTCCACTGTGTTTCCGTGCCGTGACAAAGAGCACACTGGCTGTGCTTGGAGAATCCATCCAGTATCAAACCAGTACAGTAATGTACCAGCTACCCTGACCTGAGGGTCCGTCTGCTTTCAATATACAGCATCTCGGGGTAGCAGAAAACTCCATCGAAAATCGGAAGGGTAATGCGTTCGTCCGTTCGTTCGTCTCAAACCAGTCCCGCACAGACAACGAGGTGTCTAAACACGAGGTAAACATCACGAGGAATTGGAACCTGGTATCCTTGTTTCCAAGTGCAAGAACAACGCTTTGTTTCTGTTCGCAAGGGCAGCAGCAAGGGCCTGTGCCAACTGCTGCAGTAATATTTAGCCAGCCTCTAATGCGTTTCTGGTTACGCAGAACAACATATGTTCGTTATTCCCTTTTGTCCTTGGGTATTGCTAGCAAACCACCTGCCTTTCTAGAGGACGGGAGGAAAATGTTGGAATGTTCTGATGTACCATACAAAGCATTCTATAGCCCATACAGATGTTCTCGTTTATAGTCCGACAGATCAACACGCTGCGCGCGGACTATGTGTCAAAACCTTCAAATCCCAGGCAAAACGCGATAATTATAGTCCCGTTCAATAAAATTGCACGTAGGGTGGTTGTTTTGCTACTAGTTTTTGGGTTTTAGCATTTACGTAGATTCGGACCGCGCTTGCTTCAACTTCTAGTCGCACGGTTCCCCACGCTGATCAATGTCGCATGACTAACGACGTATTGCGACCCACACGGATTGGGTTTGGTCGGGTCGACCTGGTCGACCAGACCCAATCCGACCAAATCCTCGGAAACGCGATTCGGGAAATTCGATAATTTCTCAGCTTTTTCCTAACATCTTTGAGGGTGATACGAATCAGTTGCCGCGCGAGGGGATGGTGGCCTGAGGAACCTGTGGCGAGCTATGGCAAGATTTGCGCGAGTTTACCTGGTATCTTCTCGGGCGGCGAAATCGGGGCGATTGCTGTGCGAGAGCTGTAAATTTCGTAGGCTCAGGTAACCTGCTTCAATCCGGTTGGGTTGGGTCTGGTCGACCTGGTCGGCTATACCCGCGACGTAGCCTTCCTAGAAATGAGGGGTCGGGGGCCGGTCGACCCAACCCATGTGGGTCGCAACACGTCGTAACGGGCAAAACAAAACAATATCAATTATGGTTTGGGGGTCGAATAGTAGGTAAAAAACTTCTGTTCTACCCCGTAAGCGAGATAAAGACGTGTTACGATTCGCCTCTTGCCTCGATCAGAGGCGATCAATAACTTCCAGGAAGCTATGGGGGCGATTTCAGGCAATCGGGGGCAATCACTTGATCGCGATCAGTTGATCGCCCCAACTCAATTTACCGCCTAAAATAGCCCAATGAAACACAATCACACACAATTACCAACGATCAGTTGATTGTTTTGGTCTGAGGTACCAAGAGACATTGACGAAACGTTACATTATTACGCTAACTTTCGTGAATACCTCGCTCAAACATGCTCTTGCACAAATGTTTACGTGAAATAACAGGGCAACATTGAGTTTCGCTAGATCCTTGCTGTGGCCTTCGCCCTCGCCAAAGTAGAAACGAAATTGTAATGAAATAGTAGCACGCTTGCTTAATACCCTCCTATAATTTTCGATGAATATCTTAACTGATCGGGCGGCGCGAGCAATGCAATTAGGGGCAACCCGATCAGATCAGACACGACCAGATCACAGGCAATCAGACGCGAACCGTAACACGTCCTAAATGAGATGTCATCGTCGATCGCGCTGGAGAACGCGTGACATGATTGAGAAATATTCGCGGTCAAGAGAACAGCTACTTACGATTTGAAAGTTAAAATATCGGATCGATGATCACTTTTTAATATTTTTCCTTGAATGTTGGGCTGGTTTGATATGGAGCCTCTGATTGGCTGCGGGGCTGATTCGTGCAATGATTCGGTCAAGCTGCAAAATTTCCCGCCAAAAATGGAACTATAGGGGTCGGGCCAACCCTAGGCGATATCGGAAAATTATACTAAGGGAGGAAAAGGGACTCTTTCAGCGAAGGCCTCTAACCCAGAACATATGTAGAACCACACGTTTGACCGTTCCACACATCAACTTCCAGTTGACCGTTTTGTACGGTAGTCCAGCGATTGCTGGGGTGGGGACTTTGTCGCTTTTGTAGTTGGGGCAGCGGCACATGCAACGAGATACAGCCAGGGTGTACACACCTGCAGTCGGCATGCGTATAACGAGGAATACCTCCAACCACATTAACAGACGAACACGTATACAACCTACTAATTCACTATAATTACGTAGATATCTCAAATCGCCACACTACTTTCAAGCAATTTAAGAATAGAAATGAATTATGCTGTAATATTATATAGGTTAATTCCTAGCCTGAAGACGATTTTTTGAGTGATTATGTCGTTGGATAGTAGCTACATAATATATTACAATTTACATGGTTAACAACCTCGTGCGTGTTACATCTGCTTTATTTCCCACGCATTACTTGACATCACGTCATGTGATTGTCACGATGCTGTGACACAAGCAGAGACATCACAGGTGCGGCGCGAGAACACTTTCTACTAACACTATATCGAAAGTTTTCGTATTCGTGAAGCCACGCGGCTCTACCTCAATGGTCAACTTCACGCGACACCGTCTGTGAACCCTTGGCGACCCTTGGCGACCAAGGGGCGGCACGTTCCTCTACTCCTTGAGTGAACGAGCCGCGACTTCAAAATCACACAATGCGATGCGATGCATTGGTCAAATTTCGCAGGTGGCTTTTGCTGTGCTCCGCTGTGCTGCTGACCTTCTCGCATCCGCCGCCTCCTCTCTTCCCCTCTCCCCCAGGGCTGTCGATTGCTCTGGGGCCAGAACTTGGAAGGCTGAGCTGCCCAGAAATTTGCCCTTAGATTTACGTTTTGGGGCCAAACTCAGCACTTGAAATCAGGGCTACAAAGTGTCATGCACTTTTGCTAGACAAGAGATCACCCTCCATTTTCAATGCCCAACCAAATTGTAAGGGTAAGGTTCTGGGACCTCTCTAGCACTAAGTACTCCCTGGCCTACGCTGCATTCCCCTTCCTTGTTGCGACCAAAGGCAGGATCTTGAGGCTGTTAGCGGACAGAAAACTTAAGGACTGACATTCCTCGCAGAAACCTACGGTCTGTACTAAAACCACTTCAGGTTCTGACCTGCAGTTCAGGTTCTGATTTCGAAAAAAACAGTTTAGGTCCTGACGTCGAAAGTTCACAGAGTAATCGAAACTGGCTCTGGGAAGAGTTATACTGCACCTGGAACTGGGATGATGGGAAATGGAGCGGGTGGGGAGAGGGGAGGGAGGTACGGCGGGAATCAGTTCGAAGGGGAAAGGGCTAGCCCCAAGACTCGTACTTGAAATCCGGGTTAGCCCCGAGCAAGCACTTTAGGCAGACGTGCTGACCTGAAACCCAACCCTTAAATTCGGGGACCTAGGCCAAACTCAACCCTTAATGTTCAGGGCATTAAGGGCATTTGCCCTTGTAGCGACAGCCCTGCTCTCCCCCTCCCCTCGCTGCAATGCAACAAATCGCCCCTCTCCACAATCCCCTCGACTCGACAGTTTCAAGCCGCCCGAATGAGTGGTCCCTCTCAGACATTCTCCGCATGCATGACTAAATAGCTCATTTTTCAACATTATTCTCATTATGCCGCTCGTTTCCCTCGAAGCACAGTCTTTCAATTGCCCACTATTAGAAATGGTTTAAGGACCGCCTCATGCGCCGAGAGTCCATACGTTAGCAGCGCGATACTGCCAAAGTCAGCACCATCGTCCGACGCTCCATTACTTCGTATAATCCTGCGGCCACCGCATAAGCGATCTTAGTGACGCATCTAGCCTCCGTCGCACGTCGGCGACACCATGGCGAAGCAGAAGAAATCCCTCAAGGGATCGGTCGCCATCCTCGCTATGAACTTCCTCCGTTTCCTCAACATGGTGATCATCGTGGGCGGTGCCGCCACCATCGTTATGGTCTTCCTCATCCAATCGCCGCCCACATTCCCCGCCGGCTGGGGATTCTTCTTCCTCAGCACTCTCATCATCCTCTCGGGTCTCTTCGGCACGATTGCGTCGGGCCAGGTCGGGTGCTTCGAGTGCCATCTGTTCTGCCTGTTTATAAGCGCCGCGGGGCTGTGCGCGTCGACGCTGATGATCTTCCTCCGTTTCAAGGACGTCGTACTCTCGATGAAACCGAACGCGGATCCGTACCAGATGTACGATGCGGAGCAGTACGTACGCATCCTCGGGGCCCTCTATTTCTTCATCTTCATGACGCAGATGGTTATTCTCATGCTCGGCTGCACTGTACACCACTTCGGCCTTATAGAGCATAACGAGGACCTCGATGCGCTAAAATCCGCGCGCGAGCTCGCGCGCTCCGAGGAGATTCACCGGCGGCCGAAGATCGACGGCTGGGTGCCCCACAAGCTGACTGAGAAAATGAAGCACAAGTACCGGCAATGGACGCACCGAAGCGCCGCGGACGAGGAGGAGGCGGCCATGGAATTCGATATGGAGTCGAGCGTTGGTAGCCAAATTCCGTCCAGTCCGCCGCCGCCGTACCCTGGAGTGTCTACGTACCCACCTGCATAACTAAATCCGTGTGTTCAAGCCAGGCTGAGTTTACCCTCCCGTTCACTCGCTAGAACCGTCTCCATTCGCCCTACTGATTGTTATTAGGTGCACCCGTGTTTTGGCCGCTTCCACTTCCCTTTTGTGATCGCTTAGAACAACAATTACTGTTATGATGACAACCCTGTGACACCCGCGCTTGGTGATGTCCCCATGGCGAGAAGTCTCTGGAGTTGCTCCGCAGTGATGTGCTCACATTAGTATCCGTGCTATCAAGCTGCTTGTATTCTAGCCTGAGCATTTGGTAATAATAAGATTGCGTGAACATAGAGACTGCAGCTCAAGAATTGATAATCTCGGAACAGCCAAAATTTCATGGTACTCAACGAATCAAAGTTGCATTTGGGACAACGCAACAGAAAGCATACTGTGATGAGGGCAGTGATGTGTGCTAGATTAGCATACTGGTGCTCAAAGGATGCCGACAGCACTCTTTCAGCATGCAACAAAGCAGGAGCATCACATCCATCATCACCATTGTATCAGTGCATGGCACTGGCACCCCAGCATGACCAGGTCAACAAGGGCAGGGCAGCAAGCAAGTCAGCGGTCAGAGAGACTTTTGAGTCGAATCGAAAGTCACAATGGTATCAGAGGATGGCACACCAGCATTACCAAGTCAACACGGGCAGGCAGCAGGTCAGCGGTAGAGGGACTGGGTCTGCATGTTGTGGCAATCTCTGTCGCCCACCGTTACCCAGTCTCCAGCAGCTTCTCCTTATAGTGCAGCAGCTCTTACCTTAGCATACAACTCAACAAACGGGCGCTTGGGTGGGGGTCGTCTTCTACGAGGCACTTGTCCGTGGGAAGCTTGAGCAGTCTTGCTGGTCTCCTTTCAAGAGCTCAATGGTGTGGCAACATTGATGTAGAGTAGAGGCACAGGGGGAAGTTATGGTTATACATACTGCCTGAGTGGTGTAGCTTCCATTCCCCAAGTGTACCTGGTAGCTGTGGTTACCGCTCGTCACTGCTTCAGCACTAAAACTTTGGGGTGCGTGAACATATCACCATGACCATATGGCTAGGTCTCCTGCACTCCCACTTTCTCACCATTGCCACTTGTGTCCCTCTCTCTCATCTCAACCTCACTCTCACTCAGCTCAGCGTCGCAAACGAAGGCCCAGCCTGTAGCAGCCAAGTCATCACGGCACGGCACAGCACCTGCAGGAGGACGCACCTGCATCATGTCTATCACGGCAACTTCGTCTCACCCACCCCACCACACTAACCGCTCGCCCTCGCCACCCTCTCTGCTCTCACTGCCAACGCGCACACAAATCCCAACCTTGCGGCTCACTCTCCCCTCCCACTCTCACAACTCCCTCCCACCACCCATTCGCTCCCACCACTGACAACTGTTACTCTCACAACTCACCCTCACCACGCTCACCACTCACCCTCACTATGCTCACCACTCACGAACTCTTACCACTGCCGTCATGCACAACTCAACTGCTCACTCTCACCTATAAACTCTCACCACTCACCCTCACCACTCTCATCACTCACGCTCTCTCTCACCACTCATCGTCACCAGCCCCTCCACCACTCATTCACTCACACTCACCAACCAGTTGCACACTCAGTTTCACCACTCACACTCACAACCATCACCTCCCATGCAACAGGTGGAATCAGTGCCATACAGCCCATCATGTGCCACCCATGGGGACTCAGCCCCTTTCACGTGCTCTCACCCACCCAAGGGGACTCAGCCCCTTTCACTTGCTCTCGCCCACCCAAGGGGACTCAGCCCCTTTCACTTGCTCTCACCCACCCAAGGGGACTCAGCCCCTTTCACTTGCACTCACCCACCCAAGGGGACTCAGCCCCTTTCACTTGCTCTCACCCACCCAAGGGGACTCAGCCCCTTTCACTTGCTCTCACCCACCCAAGGTGACTCAGCCCCTTTCACTTGCTCTCTCCCACCCAAGGGGACTCAGCCCCTTTCACTTGCTCTCACCCACCCAAGGGGACTCAGCCCCTTTCACTCGCACTCACCCACCCAAGGGAACTCAGCCCCTTTCACTTGCACTCACCCACCCAAGGGGACTCAGCCCCTTTCACTTGCTCTCACCCACCCAAGGGGACTCAGCCCCTTTCACTTGCACTCACCCACCCAAGGGGACTCAGCCCCTTTCACTTGCTCTCACCCACCCAAGGGGACTCAGCCCCTTTCACTCGCACTCACCCACCCAAGGGGACTCAGCCCCTTTCACTTGCACTCACCCACCCAAGGGGACTCAGCCCCTTTCACTTGCTCTCACCCACCCAAGGGGACTCAGCCCCTTTCACTTGCACTCACCCACCCAAGGGGACTCAGCCCCTTTCACTCGCTCTCACCCACCCAAGGGGACTCAGCCCCTTTCACTTGCTCTCACCCACCCAAGGGGACTCAGCCCCTTTCACTTCCTCTCACCCACCCAAGGGGACTCAGCCCCTTTCACTCGCACTCACCCACCCAAGGGGACTCGGCCCCTTTCACTTGCTCTCACCCACCCAAGGGGACTCAGCACCTTTCACCCACTCACGAGCATCACGCTTCCATACACGGGTGGCATCAGTGCAACTCATCATGTGCCCCCAATTAACCAAGCATGAGCATCATGCTTCCATGCTTAAGGGTGGCATCAGTGCAACTCATCATGTGCCCCCAACCAACCAAGCATGAGCATCATGCTTCCATGCTTAAGGGTGGCATCAGCGCAACTCATCATGTACCCCCAACCAGCCAAGCATGAGCATCATGCTTCCATGCTTAAGTGTGGCATCAATGCAGCTCATCATGTGCCCCCAACTAGCCAAGCATGAGCATCATGCTTTCATGCTTAAGGGTGGCATCAGTGCAACTCATCATGTGCCCCCAACTAGCCAAGCATGAGCATCATGCTTCCATCCTTAAGGGTGGCATCAGTGCCATATGGCTCATCATATGCCACCGCCAACCCCACTGCCTCTCACCACCATCACCCCATCACCACCACCACCACCCAGCCCACCCAGCCCCTCCCTACCTTACCTGCCAGCAGTAGGAGCAGCAGACAGCCCACTCCCCTTCGGAAACAGCACCCCCAGGGGTTGTGCCTTGAAGGGCGAGGTGTGGCAGTGGAAAATTGCTTCCAGCCCAAGACTCAAATCCCACCCCCGACGTAGCTAGAGCTGACGCGAACCAGAGTCGCCGGCCGGTCGACTCTGACGGTGCCCATTAAGCCTTAACGTCAGGTTAGTTACTTGAGCACCGAGTGCCGTGCCACACAGATTCCACCCACCACACCCCGACCCGCGAGGCACATCCCTAGAGGATGCTGCCCCTGAGAGAGTGACCTGCCCACTTGCTCCCATGCTTCCCACCGCCTCCCCACTCTCCCCTTCACCCCATGCCTCTTACCTCTACCTACCACAGCCATGCAGAGCGCCATGTTGCCTCAGGGTGTTGGGAAGTGGGGAGGGAGGAGGGGGGGGGGGGGGGGGTTAGTGCGATGCCTCTGTCCCGCCCTTGCTCCCTCTCTCCCTCAGGCTGCATCGACCGTGCTGGAAAGTGGGGAGGGGGGCAGCGGGAGGGAGAAGGGGAGGGGGACGTGAGGATGAAAAGAGAGATGCCTCTGTCCCGCCCTTGCTCCAGTGCTCCCTCCATACTCAGGCTGCGAAGGGGGGTGGGGAGGAAGAAAGAGAGGAGGGGATCAGGTCTCCATACCAAACCTGTTACCATACCTTACCTGATACCATACCACACCTCGCTCACGACTCGACCTAACCTAGCCCGCCTCTAACCCCCCACCCCCCACTGCTGCTGCTGCTGCTGCCGCTTCAGCTGCTACAACTGCTGCTGCCGGTCTGCTACTCAGCTTCCCTGCTACAGTCTTCTCTCGATGCCCAGTGGCCTGCAGGAGTGGGGGCAGAAGAATAGGGGGAAAGTAAAAGAAAGTGAATAGGCTGGACTAGAGAAACCAATGAATTGAAGTTGACGAGAAAGAGAAGGCGGAACTACAGAGCAGAAATAGAGAGGGTTGAGGGCAAAAGGGGAGGCAGCGTACCTTGAGAGGCCAAGCCCACCCCGATACTCTCCCTTGTGGCAGAGACTGGCAGTGCTGCCTCCCTCCCATCCCCACGGGTACCTGCACGGCCACAGGGGAGGGGCGTGAGGGAGCGTCGGTGTTGACCCCCGCCCCTCCCCTCCACCTGCAAGCACACAGGCAGAGCTGGTCAGTGGGCAGCGAGGGGAGGAAGGGTGAGAGTGCAAGAGCGAGAAGAGAGTTTGCAAGGCGAGAGCAGGGAGGGGCCACTGGTGGAGGCCAAGCCACAAAGCACAGACCCCAAGGGGTGAACCTGAGAGCGTACCTGCACCTGAAGGGGTTACCTGCACCTGGAGGGGTTACCTGCACCTGATCTACACCTGAGGGGTTACCTGGAGTTGGGGGGTCTGTGGCATGTGAGGCGGACCTAACCAGTGGCACTGCTTCAAGAGGAAGGGTGCGAAATCAGATGCGAAAAACGAAATGGCAGCAGCAAGGGCGAGGGCTTGGAGGAAGGGGCACTTAGCTGATTGTGTGAGAGCGAGCAGAGGGCAGCTGAAGTTGAAGCACCAACAGATTACTCCCTTGCACAATCTAGTAAGGAGGGAAGAAAGGGGGGAAGTACGAGTAAGTGAGTTGCCAAGAAAACACCTAAAGCTGAGGAAAACGAGAAGGCGGAATTGAAGAGCAGAAAGGGAGAGGGATGAGGGCAGGAGAGAGGCTCACGTACCTTGAGAGGCCAAGCCCACCCCGATACTCTCCCTTGTGGCAGCGACTGGCAGTGCTGCCTCTCTCCCATCCCCACGGGTACCTGCACGGCCACAGGGGAGGGGCGTGAGGGAGCGTCAATGTTGACCCCCACCCCTCCCCTCCACCAGCAAGGGGCACACGCAGTGCTGGTCAGTGGGCAGTCTAGACAACCAGCAGAGTAGACAAGTGCGAGTTACACAGGCAGGGCTGTTGCCTCATCTTTACCTCCCCTCCCCTTTCCCTTCTCTGCTGCCCTCCCCTCCAGTGTTGCGCCAACTACGCTCCCTCCTCTCCTGAGGGGAGGGCAGGCGAGCGGATGACAGGGGTGTGATTGGGGAGCAGAGGAGTGGGGAGGGCAATGAGGAAACGAGAGAGTGATTATAGTGAGAAAGAGGGGAGGAGAAATCACAAGAGTGATGCGTGCATGAATGGACTGCTGCAGTGGCACACCCGAGAGACCTCATACCAGCTGAACCACACTACACCCAATACCTGAGCACGTACCTGCTACCTTGCTACCTTGGGGGGGGAGGTCTCTTGAGTGTGACAGACGGCAGTAAAGGAGAGAGTTTGCCGCATGATGCAAGCGAGACATGAGAGGCAACACAAGTACGAGGGTTGGGAGGAGAGAGGCAGGGCGGGTGTGCTACGATACTCATCTTTGCTTTCGTCTGGAGAGCCCAAGACGACCCGCTGCTGCCTCCGCTGCTGGCTCCTCGCCCCACGTCCATTGAGAAGTGCTCGGCAGGCAGAGCGATGGCCCTCGACAGCAGCCGGCACTGAGAGTCAGGGAGGGGATGGAGGGGTGGGTGGATGCTGGAATCATGGGCAAGGGGGGAGGGGAGATGTCCAGTCCGAGGGAGAGAAGTTCAAGTTACTAGATGTGAATAATGGAGGGGAGGTATAGCTTCTGTAACACATCCAAGAAGAGTGGGGGACCTTTACCTTACTGTACCAGGGGTTGAAAGTTTTGCACCTACCAAGGGAGTACCTGACACCAAAATGAGAGGGCTTGGGTGTGCTAGAGGCAGCTAGAGTGACGAGGCCGCAGAACAGGAAGCAAGCGAAACAACAAATGGCAAAACGGTCGAAGTCAAGAACGGGGTGGGAGGTGAAACGGTACTCATCTGTACTTTCTTCACCCCGTGCTTGCTGGAGAGCTCAGCACGACCCGCTGCTGCCTCCGCTGCCTCCGCTGCTGCCTCCGCTGCTGCCTCCGCTGCTGCCTCCGCTGCTGCCTCCGCTGCTGCCTCCTCGCCTGCCTCCTCGCCTGCCTCCTCGCCCCCCGTCCGTTGAACCGCATTTGCGAGGCAAAGCGATGGTCCCCAGCACCAGCAGGCGCTGAGAGTCAGGGAGGGAAGAGGAGGCAAGGGAGGGGGGTGGTGGACGTTAGAATCACGAGCAAAGGCGAGGAGAGGGAGACGAGTGCGCGTGAGCAGATGCGAACAGAGGAGGGGAGGTATAGCTTCTGTAGCACACCCAAGGGGAGTGGGGGACCTTTGCTTACCGTAGCAGGGGAGGGGTTGAAAGTTTGCACCTACCAAGGGGAGTACCTCACAGTCAGAACCTTTACCAGAAATAAGGAAGGGACGGACTTGGCAGCTAGAGCGGCGAGGCAGCAAGCATGTAAAACAAACAAAACAACACACGGAAAAAAAAAAAAAACGAATGGAGGCGTAGGGAGGGACAGTGGTGGCGCGATACTCATCTGTTGATTCGCGCTGCGCAGCCCACGACGACCCGCTGCTGCCTCCGCCTCGCGTCCCACACCCACGCTCCTTGATTGTTTGGAACGAAGGTCCTAATGGGCAGCAGGTGAACTGGGGGACAAGGAGGTGTAAAGGGCGAGGGGGTCGGGAAGGACCGGGGGGGGGGGGGGGGGTGATGAAACAAGGAGGACCGCGGTCGAGTCACATGCGAGAAACGGAAATTGGTGTAGCAAATACAGGAGGGGGGGTATAGCTGCTGCAACACACCCTAGGGGAAACGGGGACCTTTACCTTACCGTACCAGGGGTAAAAAAAAATTGCGCCTACCAAAGGGAGTACCTCACAGTCAGGACCTTTACCAGAAATAAGGAAGGGACGGACTTGGCAGCTAGAGCGGCGAGGCAGCAAGCATGTAAAACAAACAAAACAACACACGGAAAAAAAAAAAAAAACGAATGGAGGCGTAGGGAGGGACAGTGGTGGCGCGATACTCATCTGTTGATTCGCGCTGCGCAGCCCACGACGACCCGCTGCTGCCTCCGCCTCGCGTCCCACACCCACGCTCCTTGATTGTTTGGAACGAAGGTCCTAATGGGCAGCAGGTGAACTGGGGGACAAGGAGGTGTAAAGGGCGAGGGGGTCGGGAAGGACCGGGGGGGGGGGGGGGGTGATGAAACAAGGAGGACCGCGGTCGAGTCACATGCGAGAAACGGAAATTGGTGTAGCAAATACAGGAGGGGGGGTATAGCTGCTGCAACACACCCTAGGGGAAACGGGGACCTTTACCTTACCGTACCAGGGGTAAAAAAAAATTGCGCCTACCAAAGGGGGTACCTTAAAAGAAAAGGGCTGGACTCGGGTGTGCTACAGGCAGCTATAGCGACATAAAAGGATGCGAAATGCTAAAATAGAGGCAACACAAGTGCGAGGGTTGGGAGGAGAGAGGCAGGGCGGGGTACTTAGCTTAGCTGTGGGTGAGTTGGGTGGAGAGCAGCGGTGTGTGGCGGAAGAGAGAGGTTCACGGCACCCACCAGCGTGGCACCCGTCCGGGAGGTTGGGCAACGGCGTGACGTGGCCTGCAGTGGGTGGAAAGACGTGGCGACAACCATTTGTGAAATCGATCAGGAAACGTACGTCAAGGAATCAGCTCGCGAAACGACGTACCGTGATACGAAATCGATCTGCAAATTAAATCGCGAAAATGAAATTCGGGATCTAGTATTGCAGAGTTGAAACGGGAAGCTGAAACGCGACAACTATGTACGAATTCGATCGGTGAATTTGCTCATCAAAATTGAAACGCGAGCCGGAAAAGCGAACGCTTGACATGCGGGAAATTGATTTGCGAATTCGACTTTTATGTACGGGTGTGGCTTCGCCAAATACCTGAGCTGCCAGACGAAGCGAATCTGTAACTCACACGCACTCCCCGAAATCGCACGGAGAACGAGATGGTGAGTCAGCGACATGTCGCCTCCGTGCTATTGCTCGTCTCCCTCCCCAATTTGATATTTTCCCATTCAGCGACTTGTCGCCTCGGGTCGGAACAAACCTGCAACATGCAGTCGTCATCACGTCAGACGCGCCACTGAACAACCTCGCGTGCGCTAAAACGAAAGCATGCTACACAAACTAAAAAAAAACTCGGATACGTGGAAAAAAGCACTTGGACTCAGACCTACCTTGCATACGAAATCGCCATCCTCGCATTTGTTCTTTCGTAGTCAAAGTTTCCAGGCTTCACGCGCGATTTCCTCTTCCGACACGCCATTTCCTCTTCCCGACACCGGATTTCCTCTTCTGGTTAACGCAGCTTCTACATTAAGCCAGGCCTGGAGCAGAATGAAATGGGATTTCCTAACGGCTCGCCTTTTCGCAGTCGCAGGAGCTCTAAGAAAACGAGCAAAAGAAGCTTGAGCGAGAGAAATGAGAAAGTGAGAGCAAGAGGCGAAAGCGGTGTGAAATCCGAGGCTCAGGCGAGAATGAGGCGAGAGACGACGGTGACGCTGGAATGAGGCGGAGGGGTCACCAACTGCCTCTCCTCTCCTTTCCTCACAGCAACCCTCTTCAGATCTACCGTCCAGAATCACTGATTTGTCTGAAACGTGTTGGCTAACCCAGATCGCAGCCGTCAGTTCGGACCTTTTGCGTGTTTCAACACGACAATCCTAGCCATTTCCTCATTGGCGTACAGATTAACCAGCTCCGTTGGGTTTGCGACGAACACCGACGACGGCTGAAAATGGTTTGTCCGGTCAGGCTTAATGTTTGTCCATGACAGGGAGGTTCCAGATTTCACATCGCTGGATGGTTGAGAATCGCCCGCGTGGCACATAAATATGCCGGTCAGTTAAGGGAAAAGAAAAATGCCAAGTGTACGCCGTTAGCTTGCCCCCTCCTTTCACCTCAGCGGCTACACAAGACGAACGACACCGACTTTATTCAGTAAGATTCCGTTGACAAAGGCGGGAGCTGCGAGATTTCGCTGGTGAACGTTGGACTCAATGACCTAGGAGCCGTCGATTGTTTTCTGATCTGGAGACGCAGAATGATCGTGTCAGTTTGGAATGCGGGAAGCCCAATGGTTTGAATTCGAAGCTAAGCACCAGGAGGGAAGTGAATCCTAGCCGTCGACACTGGTTCTAGGCAAGCAGCTGCGGTTGAGATCTGGGACTCTGGAGAGACTACACCCTGATGTTGGTGCTTGGATGGGCGAACATGGCGAGACATCTCTGCTTCGCAATTGCTGTTACTCGTCGTTGACTTGGCGAAGAACTGATCCCCTGACACTCGCTGATTCCACCAATCCGAGAAGAGATGTTGTTCGGACCAAGAAAACATCGGAGGTTGTGCAGAGCAGGTACACCAACCCCATGGTAGAATCTGATTTTCAAACACTGAGAAAAGCACTCTAAATAGAGCAACTGTATCGAAGCTTCCATAACGAAGATACAAACCACTCTCGGGATTGACATTTGTAGGACTACAAACTTCCATCTGCAACTCCGATCGACATTCGCCTTTGTCTCAAACTTCTGATCGGTTTGATCATCACTATGGCCTTGGAAACTGTCATCGAGTGTCCTGAGGAAGGCATGGTTGACCAGAGCGCTGAAGAACTTCCACAAGAAGTTGGGGTAGGCAACAGCACGCGAGATCTAATCTCGCAATTGTTAAATCAGACTCAAAGCGCTATGGAAGGTCTGCTGCCTGACATAGAGTAAGTGCCATCTGGCGTCATGTCAAGCACCAAGGGTTTTCACAGCCAATTTGACGACTAACATGTGCGCTAACTCTTTCAGTTCTCTCAATGACGAAGGAATTGACATCGGCAGAGAGCTCGAACGAATTAAGCAAGATACCCTTGCCACACAAAGCAAGCTGCAAGAAGATCGCAAAAACGTCCAGGACGCCGTCCAGCGAGTTTTGGATCTGCTGCACTGGTAGTCGAATTTATCTTGGAAGATTAACGCTGTACATTATATCTTCAAATGAAGCTTTTCAGACGTCTCGACCTATTATGGAAGTACATTATGCACAAATCTAAGGCTAAGGAGGATAATTCACTGACTGGTCTTTTCAGTGAAGAAGCATCAGTGGGTTCTCATCTCACTGACTGGTCATGTCAATAAGAAGCATCAGTGGGTTATGGTTATGGAATCAGTGAAAAAGCATCACGGCCGTTGGCTATGGTTATGGCATCTATCGGCTGTCAGCGGCTATTCTACAAGGCTTCAGTTAGTAAACGAGGGGCTGCGAGGCACAAGCGGACACTAGTTTCTGTATCCTCTCAAGCTCGTCAGAGTCAGCCTTACTTTCAATTTCCATTGCCAAGGAAGAATCTCCTCCTACCTTACCATAGACGTCGTCTGAAACCGGAACCAGTTGCCTCGGCGATCCTGCTGCGGTTATGTCAACGTTGCTGAGCCTCACATTAGTACAAGGTACTGTCTTGCTGCAACGAAAAACAGCACCCTCGTCTCCAATGGTTGTGCCGTGGATGTTCGAGAACGAAACGCCCGAGATAGCGACGTTTTTGGACTTTGCTGAGCTTCGCGAGAGCAAGCTCCCTCCATTGTAGAACTGCAAGTTGAAGAGCCACAGAAATCACTGTCAATGCTGTACAGTGAGACGAAGTTGGCATAAGCAGATAGTTCACTTACCTGATCCAGAACCAGTGGGTACCGAACCCCCTCCATTGTAATGTCCTCATACGCAATGTTAGTCGCTGCACCAGTTCCACCTTGGAAAGTCTTTATGCGTAGGCCTATCTTTGTGTTGAAGAACCGGACGGACTTCACAGTCACGTCTGAAACGCAGGAGAGTGCTGATATCTTGCCACTGCCAAGTGCTCCAATTCTGCGCATTATTGCGATAGAAGGAAAGTGAGGAACGCTATGACACTGGAATACAACAATTTCACGACCATACACGGTGGTGTGATTGAGGTATCCAGCATTGGGGTACGGGTGACATACGATATTCCATGTCCGCTGAAGGCGGTAATGTTTGAGATACTGACTCCTCTCGCGCCGTCCCACAGAACAATGTTGTCATCACCTGCATTGGAACAGACAATAATGATATTCAGGATCGTGTGGTTTATGCTACGTGAACGGCATCAGATGTTCAAAACTAATTCAACCACTTACCGCCCGCCAGGATGCAGTCCCGTATATCAACATTTGTTGACACGGATACATGAATCCCGTCCGTGTTTCTGCTCTCTGCAGGGGTGTTTGTCTTGAAGTCAAAGATCCTCACTCCCACGCAGCGAGTAACTTGCAGGTGGAAAAATGGTGCATTCCTGTGATACGGCGGGCCATTGACATGAGTCAGATTGCATAGTACTGCTGAGCGTGACCGTGTGATAGATGAGGAAGTAAATGATGCGAAGGATAGGGAACCAGCAAGACTTACTGAAGGGTGATGCCGCTAATGCTCGTGCCGTTGCACATGTAGACGTACATCAGCACTGGTCGGTCGCCTCCTTTCTTCCAGAACGACTCCCCTTGCCCGTCAATAAACCCCGAGCCGAACACCGTCAGGTTCGTGATCATCCCAAACTGAAGAAACGCGAAAATACCCTTCCTGGATGACGACGGATACCTAGAGAGCTTCTCAGGTGCCGTTATGTTCCCGTCAATCTGGACATTCACTCCTCCTAGCCCGCAAGGCCCGATCAGCTGAATAGGCGTGAGGTAGAAGGTGTATCCGCTTGGAACGAGCATCGTTGCAGGGGCGGTGCCGTCATCTGCAGCAAGAGACGCGTTGCACGCTGCTGCGAACGCGGCCAAAAAACTATCGGAATCGTCTGACTCTCCGTTTCCCTTGGCTCCAAAACTCCGCACGCTGTAAATCGTGCCAGTGGGACGCGGAGCGGGAAAGCTACTGGTTACCTGGTTACCAGCACCGGGCTGCGGGAAAGCAGGTTGAATCCCGTTGCCATTTCCCGGAGAGCCACTTGTGATATCCACGCTCACCCCAGTCGGGGCACTCACTACCGCGGATGGATTCGTAACGAAGGTAGCGGGGTCTGGGTCCGGCATGGAGAAAATCACGGGCTTTTTGGGAGTGAAGAACGGATTGCCGGAGTCGAAACTCGGATCCGCTTCGGGGAGCAAGTCCGGAGTGTCTAGAACGTACGGCGTGGGGGAAGCTTCGGATGAGAAGTCTGTGGCTGACGCGCTGCCTTCCGGCCAGAATGTGGGCTCGTCTCGAGAGGACGACTTGAGGAGCCGGGGATAGAAGCGGAACGAGTGGATATGGCTGTCCGGCTCGACGAGAGGTATTCGGGAAAAGCCTCCTCGGATGAGCTTCGAATGCTTACTGTCGTATTGATGGGTTGTCGATGTGGCAGCGGACGATTGCGCGGAGAGAAGGCAGACATGATGCGTCAGTAGGGAGAGAGCTGTTCCGAGGAGGAAAAAGGAAAGGCGAGGGAGTGCGCTGCAGATGTGTGGCCGGGGAATTTCGAGATGGCTAATAGGCGTCATATCGTTGTACAGGATGTAAGTGTAAAGCAAAAGATGCGCAGTCTGCTTTGCCTGTAAGGCTGTTCCCAGCACGGGCGGTTTTCGAAATAAGCACTTGGTTTAGCGACTTTCTGGTTCTGTAGGAAATACGCTCACGATAAACGATCGCAATGGCAGTACGCGAACGAAGGACCAGGGCTGTTGCAGCGCGGGATTGTTAGGTTAGTGGCTACTGAGCACAGAGATGACTTTGTAAGGAAGTAACCGAAAGAACTTAATCCAGAACATGAACCTCACGCATCGTGTCGGAAACCACCTCGTGCTAAACTCGGCAAATAACCATAACGTGCCGTTTTACGGAATTCCTTGAAGGGGGATGCTGAAACTATGGAGAGAAGAAACCACAGTGGTGCTGTTCGCCAGCAAATCGAACATTTGAATGAAAAATATGGCATCGGCATCGCGACCGCATCCGGAAACGGAGGCGGAACCCACCTCCTAGGTTTGGGCGTAATGCCACTCGAGAAACTTCTGCGCCCGGAAATTACGCAACCGCATCGGGAACCTCCATCCCCACCTTCCCCCCAAGGGCTTTGAACGGCAATGCAACGGCTGTGCCATCGCTGTCCTCTGAAAAACGGGGCATGGCGATGGCATGGCTTGGGGATGGAATTTTGCCTGGTGACGAAGTTGCGTCCCCGCTTCTATTTGCCGTCGAGCAGCTCAAGTTGGTGGACAAATGGGGGGCGTTCGCCAGACGCCCACTATGGTTGTTGGTTTGGACGGTAGAGGAGGCTCGGCATCTTTTTTACGGGCTGACCAGGCTGACGGAAGTAAACGAACCCTAACTCACGGGATCAGGAAGACGAGACCCACCTTCCTGATCCCGTCCTTATCCCGTGGTTTTTGGCTTCACAGGTGCTGGCGAACAGCCCCAGTGGAAGAGCATGTGAGCTGTTGAATCGGGTCTTGATTCTTGCCACCTTGATCTGGTTGAGAGCTCTCTCCGCAGCACCCTCCCCGTCTCCACTTCCTGATCCAATTTCTGGGGGAAAATGTGCGACTCGGCTAGCTGGAATTTGTGAGATCGTTGCGGCTCGGGATGAGCGAAGGTGCCGTGAAATTAGTCGAAACGGTCAAATTAGGAAGAAGCGTGTACATGGCGACTGCTACAACTGTTGTAGGTATCATGGTATTATTATAAAACAAATTAGCAAATGCGAAAATACTAAAAAGTCACATAGGAGCCATCTTGTGAAGCCCCGTGCAAAAAAGTCACTCAACCAGGACAGCAAAAATACTAATGGTTATAAAATTATCTCATAACGTTGTTTCCACACGCAATCACATTTACCATACAGTCCGACCCAGTACTGCAAATTAGACTGAAAAGTATAGCACATCATGCATATGAGAAGGGAAAAAGTTGCTTCCCTTAAATAATGACTGGAAAAGAGCCTGATGGAGCATGTGCTCATGGGTTAATTTACTAAATTACAGTTGCTCTACTCCAGTTGGCTGCATCATGCTGCAATGCCAGTCCATGTTGCAATCATTGCACTGTCCATGATCTCTTGAGCCTCTTCGTCAGTCTGCCAAGCAAGTGTTTCACAAGACACCACAACGAGCACATGGTTAAACAATTACACGATTGTATGGTATATACATATTTGCACACACATTAAGCGCACACGTATATGGTACATGCACATATACGCATGCACCCACATACGCACATGCGCACTCACTCCGACCGACTCACAACAAAGCAGATAAAAATCCAAATCGTCACGACTCTCACCCCTTCTCCTTCATCCCATACCACTCACCCCACCACCCTCACCCCGCCACCCTCACCCCGCCACCCTCACCTCGCACTGTTCTCGGACAGAAGCAGCATCGGGAAGGCTCCACCCCCACAGCCGCTCACTCACCCTCACCGCCCGCATCCTCAGCTGCCCCTGCTGCCCCCCCAACTGCCCCCACTGCGCCTGCGGCCCCCCCTGCTGCCAGCCAAAGCGCTTGTGAGCATAGAGCAGGAGGTGGGCAATGTATCGAGCATTGTCCCTCCTCCTGGGCCACCGCCAATAGATGTGTGCCGCCATGCGCGCTGCAACGGCCAGGATTAGATCCCCGATGTCCTTCTCGCGCGGATCGACGGTGGAGATCAGGCGCTCGATCCAGGCCCAGGCGCAGGCGAGGGAGGAGGGAGAGCGGTGGAGGGAGGGGGTGAGGGGGGAAGGGGAGGAGGAGGAGGAGGAGGAGGAGGAGGAGGAGGAGGAGGAGGAGGAGGAGGAGGAGGAGGAGGAGGAGGAGGTGGTGGTAGTGGTGGTACTGATGGGTGCAGAGGGGTTGGGTGCAGAGGGGTTGGGTGCAGAGGGGGCTGCATGCGGTTGCTTGTTGGAGGAGGAACGGGAGAAGGAAGCTGAGGAGGTGGAGGAGGAGGAGGTGGAAGCCGAGGTGGGGAAAAGCGAGTAGGAGAGGGAGCAAGGCGAGACGGCTCGAGGGGTGGACTCGAGGTAGATGGGGCCAGGCGAGGTGAGGGTGATGAGCAGCCCTTCCAGGCCCCAGTCGAACACCTCCAGCATCTGCTGCTCCGGGATAGCTCCATCCGGCGTCACTGCCTGTAAGAGGAGAGAGAGGGGTGGAGGAAGGGAGACAGGAATGATGTGAGGGTGGTGAGCGTGATGAGCAGCCCTTCCAGCCCCCAGTCGAACACCTCTAACACCTGCTGCTCTGGGATGGCCCCGTCTGGCGTCACTGCCTGTGGGGGTGGGAGGGAAATGACGGAGAGGGAGAAGACGGATTGTGGGGGGGATGGCGCTGGCACCTGCTGCTCTGGTATGGCCCCTTCTGGCGTCACTGCCTGCAGTGGTGACAAGGAGAGAAGGGCGGGGGAGAAAGCGGAGAGGGAGAGAAGGGAAAGAGAGGATAAGGATTGTGAGGGGGTCAGCGAGAGGTGAGTATGAAAAATGGTGTCACTGTGGGAAGTTGGTTTCTGAGAGTTCTCAAGAGCCAGCGTGTTCTCAAGAGCCAGCGTGTTCTCAAGAGCCAGCGTGTTCTCAAGAGCCAGCGTGTTCTCAAGAGCCCGCGTGTTCTCAAGAGCCAGCGTGTTCTCAAGAGCCAGCGTGTTCTCAAGAGCCCGCGTGTCTCCAGCCCCCAGTCGAGCACCTCTAGCACCTGCTGCTCTGGAATGGTTCCCTGTCAATGCCTGGAGGGTGGGAGGAGGGAGGGAACAGAGAGGGAGACACGGGATTGCGAGGGGTCCTGGGAAAGGTGAGTGTTACAAATGTGGTGCCCCCAGAGAGCACCACAGAGAGCACTTCACAAATCTGCTGCTCTGGATGGTCACAGCCTGCAGGGTGGGAGGGAAGGAGTCGGACGGGGAGGGGGCTGGGCGCAGTGGGAGTTTCGTGGGTGTGAGTGTGATCCACCCACTTCCCATACGCCAATCCTCTTTAAAAAGGAAAGTCTCACCTTGAACGTCCCTTTGACCGCTTTCCCCCACATGACAGGCAGAGCCTTGTGAGCCAACGCGCTCTGCTTCTCCAGAAGCCAAAGAGGGGTAAAGCACAACCACTCACACAGCCAGCCGTGTCTCAAAACAGATCTCACCTTGAACATTCCAAGTTGTTTCAGAACAAGCCTTACCTTGAACGTCCCTTTGACTGCCTTCCCCCACATGACAGGCAGAGCCGTATGTGCCAGTGCGCTTTCCCTCTCCAGCAGCCCTCCCACCGCCTTCCACTGCGCCCACCCCACCTCCACTCCTGGGAAACTCACTTCCGCCGCCCACCGAACCAGCGCCGCCTCCCGAACCTGCCGCTGCCGAGCCTCCCGATCAGCCTCGGCCGGCAGGCCGTCCGGGCCTTCTGCCACTGCCGAGCCTAGCGGGGAGGGTCGGGGAGTGATGCGGCCGTTTTGGGTGTGCAGGGAGAAAGGTGGAGGGCGGGATGAGGTGGACGTGGTGGCAGTAGCGGTGGAAGAGGCGAGAGAGGTGGAGGTGCGAGTGGTAGAGGCTGAAGAGGAGGACGAGGAGGATTTTGGGAAAATGGTGAAGGGCGGGAGGGACGGCAGTGGTTGTTGGGGAGAGGAGGATTCGCGTGAATGTATGGTGGAGGTTTTAGCGAATGAGAAGCTCGCCTCGCCTTGCTCCTCCTCCTCCTCTTCCTCCTCCTCATCTTGCTTTTCCTCCCCCTCCTCCTCACTCCCCTCCTCGCACACCTCTCCATAAATCCTCTCCCCCTCACTCCCCTCCTCACTCTTCTTGTCAACCCTACTGCCCGCCTCCTCTCCTTCCAAAACCGCATGCAGAGCCCCCGGCGCACTCACCGCATTCAGAGCCCGCGGCGCACTCACCGCTCGCTGCCCATGCAAAGCCCCATCTGCACCTCCTTCCTTCACCCCCTCTTCACATCCCCCTCTTCCTTCAGCCCCTGCACCCACAGCCCCTGCATCCACAGCCCCCTGTCCTTCCCGAACCTCCTTCACACCCTCCTCCTCCACACCGCCTTCATCCTCACTCCCTCGCTCCAGCACCGCCTTGAGAGCGCTTTCCTTGGTTGTGAAGAAGCTCGCAATCGCCCGCCCCTCGCCCGTCTCTTCTGCCCTGCTTCCCCCATCGCCCAATCTCATACTCTTGCTGCGGAACGACCTATGAGTCGGCTCAAGCTCAAACATCTCCCCGGTCTCTCCTGCCCGGCTGCCATCGCACTGCCGCACACTCTTGCTGCCATCACCCGATTGCACACTCTTGCTGCGGAACGGCCGCACACTCTTCCCATCGCGCTTTACCGCACTGCTCCCATAGTACTGCCCGGCATAGATGATCACGTTCTCGCCGTCACCGTCGCTTTCATTCCCCTCTTCCTCTCTACCTGTCTCCCTCTCGCTGTCCCGCTCAACCTCCCCCTTCCTCCCCTCCTCCCCTTTCTCTTCGTCCCCCTTCCCTTCTGTTCCGTTCGCTTTCCCCTCCTCCCCTTTCCCCCTCCGCCCCTTTCCCCTCCGCCCCTTCCCCCTCCGCCCCTTTCCCCTCCACACCGTCCGCCCCTTTCTCCTCCTTCCCCTCCCCATCCCCGTCCCTTTCCCCTTCCCCATCCCCCTCCCCCTCCCCTTCCCCTTCCACCTCCATTCGTTCCCCCTCGGCCCCTTTCCCCTCTCCCCCTTCCCCCTCGGTCCCTCCCCTCTCCACCCCCTCCTCCCCTTTCTCCTCCCCTTTCTCCTCCCCTTTCTCCTCCCCTTTCTCCTCCTTTTTCTCCTCCCCATCCCCCTCCTCCTCCCCCTGTTCTTCCACCACCAGCAGCGGCTCAATGGCCAGTCTGAGCACGAACCGCGCGCACAGGGCGCTCATCTCGCCCGCGCGCTCCTGCTCCTCGCGAGACGGTGGTGCCCCGAACACGCGACTCAGCTGCAGAAACCCGTTTGCCAGCTCGTATGCCCACGGGTAACTCACTCCCCTCCTCGCTGCTCCCCCTGCTTCCCCTGCTCCTACCGCTGTTGCTGTCCCCCCTGCTGCTGCCTCTCCTCCTGCTCTTAGTACTCCTCCTCCTGCTGCTCCTCCAGACCCCAAGCCCCCTCCCACTCCCATTCCTGTCCCTCCTCTTCCCCCGCCTATGCCACCCCACTCCCTGCCACACCCCAGCGCTCTGCTCCTCGCCTCAGCAGCAGCACTGGCAGCAGCAGCCGCCCGCAGAGGCTCCAAAAACGCCGCCCCCGAACGCCATCGCATACTGCCACCGCACGCCGCCCGACGGTGCGTGCGTCAGTCCGAAATGCGCCGCCCCGAGCAGCCGGTGGATCCGCTGCGGCACGGGCTCCGTCCCATTAGGCACCATCGCCGCCCGGACCGTATCCGCTACAGTATCCAAATCATCATAAGCGACAGCGGCGGCCCTAAGAGAGATTCTTATAGCCGCCTCCATACACCCCATCTCGTCTGCTCTATCGGCTAAAAGCCACAGGTCCTCCTGGGTCAAATGGGGTAGTTCCGCAACTTCCCCGGCCAAAACGAGGGCGAGAATCCCGGGGCCGAGCGCGTGCGTGGTGAGAAGCGAGTCCAGCTGGCGAAGACGGTGTGAGTAGGAAGTGGACTGGTTGGTGGTGGGGGCGTTGGTAGGGGCGTTGGAAGGACCATGGGGAGAGGTGTTGGGAGGGGTGGGAGCTAGGCTGGTCCTGCCAGCCGTGGTGCTGGGAGGGGCGTGGAGAATGGATCGCACGAGTGCTAGCTCTGCCAGCTCTGTGAGTCGCGTGGGACCAAAGAACCCTGCAGCAGAGACAGATGCAGAGGATGCTAACTCCCCTCCAGCACCACCAGCACCAGTGGCGGCACCAGCAGTGGCGCGGCGCATGGGAGCAGGAGCATTAGAGATGGACATGCTTCCTGCCCGACCCACACCCGAGCCTATCGTCCCGTGCCTCCTCCACAGCCTCGACGGATCTCCCATGCCGCCCTCCTCCTCCGCACCGTCCCCTCCTGCCCCCCGCTCGTCCCCCAGGAACAAGGCACCGATCTTGTTGCGGAAGCCAATGGACGGCTGCCGCTGGAAAGGCGACGCACCCCCCTGCCACGACGGCTGGCGCTGAAACAACGCACTGTCTCCCCCACCGCCACCCCAGGACGGCTGACGGTACAGCGAGGAACGGGCACCAGCAGCAGTGGCAGTGGCAGCAGCAGGCTTGCCGGAGGCCCAGGAAGGCTGGCGCTGGAAGAGAGCCGGGTTGACTCCATTGAGCAGTGGTGAGGTACTGCTGCTGCCGCCACCCCCTGTGCTGCTTCTCGTGCCCTTGCCCCCTGACACACTCCCTGCTGCACTCTCCTCGTCGTCCCGGAACCCCTTTATCACTGTCACACTCCCTGTAGGCGTCGCCACTCCCCCATACCCCCCCATTCCGTACCCCTCCAGTCCATAACCTTCCATCCCTGCAACCACCCCGTTGACCCCCCCCATTCCTTCTAGATACGCGCTGGCAGTGGGGGGTTGTAGTCTTAACCGGCATTTAAGAGCCAAGGCGTCTACTAAGTCTAGCAGGCACTGCAGCACGAACATGCGGCACTCCCGAGCCTCCATCTCTCGTTCTACAGCTTCCCGAGCCTCCGCCGCAGCTTCGGAATCCGCACCATCGTCATCATCATCAGCAACAGCATCAGCACCGTTGTCACTGGTTCTCACTCCCTCTCTCCCTTCCTCCTCCTCCTCTTCATCCTCCTCCTCGTCCCCCAACAACCCTCCTCTCCCTCCCACACTACCCACTCCACCATCCCACCCCCCTCCTCCTCCTCTTGTCCCTCCTGCTGCTGCTGCCGCTGCCGCCCTCGCAGCCGCTGCCGCCGCTGCTGCTCCCCCTCCTCTCCGTCTCCCCCTCCCCCTCCCTCGTCTCACCCACTCCCCCGCCTCCCGCTCCTCCCTGCAAAGCCGATCCAACAACCTCAGCACACACACAGCAGCACTCACAGGCAGACAATTAGACGCTGCTGCTGCCAACCCCAGCACCCGCACCACATCAGTGTGTTGCAGCGGAGGGGGCGGGGGAGGAGGGGAGGGAGTGGGGGTACCTGCAGGACTGCTGCTGGCCGAGTGGTGGGCGGAGTGAGAGGAGGAGTGAGGGAAGGAGTGAGGGTGGGAGAGGGGGTGGGAGTGGGAGTAGGAGAAGGAGCTACTTCTGAGCCGTTTCAGGATGTCAACTGAAGGGTTGTAGCTGCTACAGCCGAGCCCGCTGCCTATCCCCACCTCCCCCATGCTACTGTAGCCACCAAACCCGCTGCTGAGGCTATTCCCAAACCCAACCCCGAGGCTGTTCCCGAAGCTGTTGCCCGCGCCTCCACCGAAGCTGCTGCTCCTGCTGAAGCTCCCTCCGGTGCTGCTGCCGACGCTGCTGCTTCGGAACCCAAACGCACCCCCACCACCACTCCCACCAACACCGCCCCTACCAGCACCACCGCCCCCAGATAACACCTCCCCCCATGCGCCCTGCTTGGCGCCCAGAGCGCCCTGCCGCCCATCCAGCAGATCCGCCAAAAGCTGCTCCTGCAGTTGCCGCCCGGCCTCCGCCCGCAGGTCGCCCTCTACCTCTGCCACGTGCACGCCACACGCCCCCCCCCGCTGCTGCCGCTCGCGCTGTAGCTGCCGCTGTACTCGTTACAAGATCCGAACACGTTAAAAGCACTGCACTCGTTATAAGCGCCGTACTCGTTGAGATTGTAGTACGTGCTTTCGTCGCTCGACCCATTGCTGCCCGAGCTCCAGCTGTCCTCGTTACAGAGTGCTCCGTTAGGAAGCTTTTCAAAATCAAACCTTACAGTGTCACTAGAGAAATCCTCGTCATAGAGGGACCCATTACAGTGGTTGGCAGTGGCAGCTACAGTGTCTAGTTCTGGGCCGGAACACTCACTAACAGACAACCGTGCATCTGAACCAACTCCCGCCACTCCATGTCCTGCCTTGTGTCGTCGTTTCTTCTGCCAAAGCCTCTTGTGCCGTCCCTCCCTCTTCCCTTCCCTCTCGCTCACCTCCCCATTCCTCCCCCCACCTTCCTGATAATCAGCGCCAGAACCCTCCACGAAGCTTCCAGAATCCTGCCCGTGTTCCCCCCTTCCTCCCCTTCCTCCCCGTCTGCCCCTTCTCCCCCTCCCCTCCCCCCTCCCACTAGTCAAATCGATACTCTCCATCCCCCCCTCCGCCTCCCCTCTCCCCCCTTTATTCCCCTCCTCATCCCCCAGGTCAACTGAGAAAAACGTCCCTTCTTCCAAGGGTTTCTTGCAACTTAACCCATCCAACTGCACTTCCAGCACGGAATTACCCCCTAGAACCCTCTCCTTCCCCTCTTTGCCCAAAACTCCCCCATCCTTCCCCGCACCTCCCCCTTTCCCCCCTTCTTTCCGCCTCATCCTCTCCCTCCGCTTCTTCAGACTCCGCAGCCCCCCTTCCGCGCCCTTCCGCCCCCACTGCCCGGCCCCCCTCCCCAGCTTCCCCCCCTGCCCCGCCGAGCCTAATCCCGAGCCTAGCGCCGAGGCTGCAGCTTCGGCGCCGTGGCTGGCAGGTTTGGCCCATTGCTTCCAGAATTCGACCCACATCGCCAGCCCCACCACGAACACTTCCTCCACTTTCGCAGCCTCCAGCCCCAAATGCCCCTGCGATGCTGTGCGACTTTCGCCCAGGCTTAGCGCGCGCCTCTGATTGGCTGCTGCCCACGTGCCTGTGCGACAGCGCCTGCCCCAGCGACAGCGAGCGACTGTGCCCAAGTTTCGGGGCTTTCTGCGACGAGCTTCGGGGGAACGGGTGAGGAGGGGGGACCGAACCTGCGTTCCCGGTTCGGGAGCTCGCCGGGCCAAACCCGGACCTAGTGCTGGTGCTTCGGGTAAACCGTTGACTAATACTCCCGATCCCCGCAATGCTCCGCCCGCTTCTTCCGCCCGCTCCCCCAGCGCCTCCCCCTCCGCCCCCCGCGACGTTATTTGCGCTGCTCACCTCCTTATTCCCCGCCGCCATCGTAGAAGCTTCCGCGATCTTGCTCACCAGCCAGTCGTACTCGGCGCGCGCCAGCTGCCGCATCGCGCCTTCCAGCTGCTCCAGCGCCTCGCGCGTCGCCGCCTCCCGCGCGCGCGCCACGGGCGCCGCCACGAGCCGCCGGCTGGACAGCCGCTTCAGCGGATGCAGCGCCGGCTGAGACGCGACGGATTCACTCGCAACTGCGCGTGACGCATTTGCAGCGGCTGCGGCGGCTGTAGGAACCCCTTCCCCCCCAGCTGCAGCTACTGCAGATTTGGCGGAAAGTTCCCCATTAGTGGGGGAGGAGGGGGACGAACGTCGTCCGGGGAGTTCTGGCGCATCCGCCGCGGTCGCGGAATGCGCCTGGTGGGCGCCGCCGCCGCCTCCTCCGCCGCCATCGCGGCCGCCTTCGCCGCTTCCGCCGCCAGCGGTAGCGGGAGCGCCAAGGAAGATGGCTTCTATGGAGTCCGGATCGCGGTAGTTGGCATCCGTGGCGCCTACTATTTTCTCGACGTACTGAGTTAAGAGGCCCGACACGGCGTCGTGCACGCAGTCGCTGTCGGAGAAGACCGCGCGCACGACGTCCGGATGCCACGCGCGCGGAGTGGTCAGGCGCGGGGAGGGGAGCGCGGCGGAAGGGGAGGGCGGAAAGAGCGGCGGAGGGAAGTTGTAGCGGCCGACGGGCGAGGTGGGGGGCGAGTGTGGCCTTTCGAACGTGGAATTCGCCTGCCCCATGATGGTATCGAGAGTGGTCCTCCTGTAACGGGGATGTGGTGTACTAGCAGGGCGTACGTGGCATGATTCATGCGGTTCGCAACGGTTCTGGTGTTTGTGGGAACACTATCGTGTAGAAAGTTCAAGGGGTAAGATTCGCTGAGCTGCGATGATCCTACGCGCACTATGTGCCCTATGCCGTGCGCTGCACGCGAAATTTAGGTAATGTCCCAACCTGCGATCAGTCGCCATGACTCGGGGTTATTAATCGCCATGTATTGATACTGCCACGACATACGGGTTCAAGAGGCGAGTCCATACAGACGGGACCGAGATATCTTCTAGCAGATGAAGGAACGGGATTCTCGCAGGGACGCAGGCTACTAAGCAGAACGAAGGAGTGGCGATGCGGCACGCGACGGAAACGAGGGGACGAAGACGGAACAGAACATGCGTAGGAGCAGTGCTGGAAAAACGTTCGAGTGGGAAAACCGTAGTAAAAATGCGGCAGGGGGAGGCTGAAGTAAGATACATCGGTGTCGTCAATCTCTTGTTTTCACAACATATGGACGGACAAGATTGACGGAAGATTCTGGTTCCCTGCAACATGGGGTGATGGAAGTGTTTCGAGGGAGCGAACAGCGCTCTGGTCGACAGGTTTGGGGAGATGTGTCTGGCTCGGTTCAGGCGGGAAAGCGGGTGATTCGCGTGGCGTGTAACGATTGGCTTCCGTCATTACTGGCTGCTTCGAGGTCACCGAAGCTAGAATAATGTGGTTCGGGTTTTGCTTGTTCTGGCCTGGCCAAGGCGGTCAGGCTGAAAAGGGCTCGCTGGTTCATCATCAGCCGAGCCGAGTCGACGTGGAAGTGTGGCGAGCAACAGGCCAACTCTGGCCGCAGCAAATGCACGTGCTGGCCTATGGTCGATTCATGTCAGCACAGATTCGATTCACCCCCCCCAAGCCAACACGCGACGCGACCACCTGCTCAGCAAAACGTGTTCTGCGATACAGGGACATGCGATTGAAGTGTCTGGTCCGGCAAGCAATCTAAGGTACACTAACATTATGTAAGCTAATTGTTATCGTAACAACGTGCGTGTCTGCAACACGAAATCACAAGGCACACACCACTTGTGACCTAGATTTGATTGTCCCGTACTGTCACACTCCCCTTTTCATCATCTCGCTCGATACAGTAACAAACGTTACCATGAACAAGGCGACGATTCTGGAGCTGGCGAAGGGGTTCCGCGGGCGCGCGAAGAACTGCATCCGCGCCGCGAAGCCGCGCGTGGAGAAGGCGCTGACGTACGCGTACCGCGACCGGCGCACGAAGAAGCGCGACATGCGCGGGCTGGCCATCGAACGCGTCAACGCGGGCGCGCGGCAATACGGGGTGCGTGACAGTACGGGGAGTGTGACAGTACGGGGTGAGCTGCTGTTGAGTCAGGCAGCGATACAGGGTGAGAATAAGTGAGAGAGTGGGGGATGGGTGGGGAGATGCAGCGCACATTGTGAGTTAACGCGCGCGCGTGCGGCAGTACTGGGTATGCGAACGGCAGATGGACCCGAGATACGGGGTATGCGAACGACAGATGGACCCGAGATATGGGGTACGGGGTACGGGGTAGCTCAAGTGCCTTTTTCCATGGTACGAAGCCCACCCCCTCATTGTATTCACAACGTTGCCTCAAGTGATCCTACACACTCCTCCATCCAGCACCGCACAGCACCGCACCTTACCGCATCGCACCGCACAGAACCACACGCTTGGGTCAAACACGTACCTATCGTACTACACTCCCTTCCCCGTTTCATGTCCCGTTTTCCCACAACTACCTTCATCTCCCCAGTTCCCCAGCCCTCACCACACCCTCGCCTTCCTCCCCTGTCCATACTTTTGACACTTCTCCCTCCCCCTCCTGCTGTCCAACCAACCCCCCATCTCCCATATCCCCACCCCGCCCCCCCCTCCTCCCCCACTTTCCTGTTCCTCTCCCTCCCCCACCACCCCTAATCCATCCTCGATACAAGCAGGTGCGGTACAGTGAGATGGTGCACGGCATGCAGCAGGCCAACGTGCAGCTCAACCGCAAGGTGCTCTCAGAGATAGCCGCCTCCGAGCCCTTCACCTTCCGTGCCCTCGTTCACCTCGCCCGCCAAACCCTCAACATCCAACGGCCACAAATCCCCATGTGATGTTAGATCAACGGCTGATATGCATGGATTTATGCGTGACTCTCTATCATCCACCATTCACTCTCCTCACCAGTCTCTAAGCCCTTCACCTTCCGCTCTTCTCTCCAGGACCTCGCCCAGCAAACCTTAAACCTGAAACCCTAAACCTTGAATACTAGTCGACCACAAATTCACATGTGACGCTCCATCAACGGCCGAAACTGCATGGGGTGAGATTTGTTATCATCGCAGCATCCCTTCATCTTCCATGCTGCTCTAGTGGACACAATTGCCCTTCAAATCAACGGCTGCAACTGCCCGTGCGCCTCACTCGCTCTCTAGTACCAGCATCCATCTAAACCTCACGTTGCTGTCAAGACAGCAGCATTTGATCTGAGCCCTTTGTTGGGCGTGCCTGGCTTAGGGCTACAATAGATTCGGGTACCAATAGAGGGACATTGGAATGACTAAAGTTCAAGTTTAAGATAGAAAACGAGGAGGAAATATATTCCAAATTGTTGCAATTACTGTGGTGGGAGTGCAGTCAAACAAAAATGTATTCAGCACTCTCATCCTTCAATACAATATTGGTGGGCTTGCATGTGTTTGCGTACTATATTATTACTTGTGCCAACACCGAGAACACAGAACGGGACACAATGTGTTATTGCATATTCGGGTGGCTTATGTTCAAATACACATATTAGTGTTTTTTCTGCCCGGTTCATGCTCAAAGAAAAGTTCGGCACCTATGATTCCGGCTGTTTTTGGCGACGAAGGCAAATGCGCATGAATCCATAAATGGGTAGGGAAATGCAATGAACAACCTAAATCTTATGACATATTCGACTAGCTCATGTTCAAATACACCTATTACAACACTTTCAGTTCGATTCGTGCTCAAAAAAAAGTTCGGCGCCTAGAATTCCGGCTATTTTTGCCAACGAATGCTTAGAATGCGCATGAATCCCTATGGGCGTAGGGAAAAGCATAACCTGAATGTTATTGTATGTTCGAGTGGCTCATGTTCAAATATACCTATTAGAGCCTTTTTGGCTTGGTTCTTGCGCAAAGAAAAGTTCGGCGCCTATGATTTCGGCCGTTTTTGCCGACAGATGCCTAGAAAACGCATGAATCCCTATAGGCGTAGGGAAAAGCATTTGTTACAATCCCAAGTGGGACTTAGCGAAGGATCGCTCAGGGTTGATCGCAGAGTAGTGTTGCAGCGGAAGTTTTGAATCTCAGGTCAGAGTGAATGTAAATGACTTAGTTGATAATAGCATGCATACATCGAGTTTATATAAGAGTACAGGGGAATACGAAAGGACCTAGACTAGCCATGTACTCTAAGGGGTACATTCCCTTATTACAGCAAATTCAAACCGTGCGGCGCGGGAACCCGTTTTGAACCTGTTCCCGCTCTTTTCACTTCAAATGTTTCTGCCTGCATCGGTCTTGGTCAGACGGTTGCTGCGTCGCTTCGACTCTTCTGACTCCTCGACTTCGTACTCGGTAGAGTCGGCTCCTGCAAGCATACAGGAATGCCTTCTCATAAAACTTCATATCGTAACACTCCCCTTCATTCCTGGGCGCAGGAGGAGCTGACTCGCTTGACCACTCCGGTGAGGTCAGAGCAGTACTTGTACTGCTGACGTGGCAGGCGCTTGGTGAGGGAAGTCTGCTGCCATCTCAGTGGTCGGGCAGTAGGCGAGGTCAACTTTTCCTTGGTCAATTTCGTCCTTGACGAAAAAGTACCGAAGTGCGATGTGCTGTGACAGAACCAGCGCCAAGACTGAAGGTGTAGCCCTGTGACGAACGCTGAGTCGCCTGGTCGTCGGCCCAAGAAGCGTCAGAGTGTCCTGTGAGGACCACCGAACCCCGTCCTCCAAGCACGAGTCCCATGCCCGATGTGCTGCACAAGTAACGCAGTACCCTCTTCGCAGCATCAAAGTGCACCTATCGGTGCCTGCCGGGTGCCACGTAGCGAGCCAGAAGGCTGAGAGGGTACGCGAGGTCAGGTCGTGTGCACGTCATCAGGTACATGAGGCAACCCACAAGCTCTGGGTACGGACCACTCGGCTCTACGGACTCGTCCGAAGGTGGAGCTGAGAGCGAGTGGCCGGTAGCTAGAGGAGTGGGCTGTGGTGAGGAGTACGTGAAGCGGAAGCGCTGAAGGACCTGGTGCACCATGTGTGACTGAGTCAGGGTGATGGTGCGCCGTGCTCTGTCCCAGGTGATCTGCAAGCCAAGATAGCTCCGTAGCTCACCCAGGTCAGTGCAGGTGTGTCTCTCCTGCAGCTCTGCCTTCACTAGGGTCAGTGCCTCAGTGTCAGCAGTAGCAAAAACCAAGTCGTCGACGTACACGAGGATGTAGAACGGCGGCAGAGTAGTGTCGGTGCGTAGAAACAGCGACGGGTCAGCAGTCGAAGGAGCAAACCCAAGAGCCGCAAGTGTCGTCCTCAGTGTGTCGTGCCACTCACGGGGCGCCTGACGCAGGCCGTACACTGGTCGCCGTAGGCTCCACTGGGTACCCGCAGGAAACGACCCAGTGAAGCCCTGTGGACGGCGCAACCAGATGGCCTCGTGAAGGCTACCCTGCAAGAAAGCTGTCGAGAAGTCGAGGGAGTGCAGCTCGTAATCACGCTGAGCTGCAACGTGTAGCAACACCCGAAGAGTGGTCATCTTCGGGGTGGGGGAGAAGGTCTGAAAGAAGTCGACCCCCCTCACGCTGACTGAAGCCTCGAGCAACGTAACATGCCTTGAAGGCAGGCGGAGAACCCGGCGGCCGCTTCACCCTGAAAATCCACATGCCACTGACGATGTTCGCCCCAGATGGGGGAACCTCGTCGACGTAGGTGCCTGTGGAATTCCAGGAAGCCATCTCTGCGTCCATGGCTGTCTGCCACTGAGAGGAGTACTCACCCGAAATCGCCTCCCTGTAGGAGCGCGGGTGGGGATGTCAAGTGCATCCGGGTCTCCCTCAGGGGCAAGCAGCATGGTCGCGTGATGTGGTGAAGCGGCAGGCAAGGCACTCCAGCTCCTCACGTCTGTCCTCAAGAACGTCACAGCCAAGGGCAGTACAGCCAAGAGCAGTCTCACCCCCGACGGACGGAGGACAGGCAGGGACAGGGTCAGAGACAAGACTCGCAAGGTAGTCGAGGCGGTACACATCAGCAAAGTTAACAAGCTCAGCTACTAGGGCAGACGCAGCAGGAGACGAGAACGTAGGGTCCGTCACAACCGTAGCAAGAAGGCGAGTAACAGTCGGACTGGACGCACGAGCAAGGTCAGACGGAGGGTCAGCAACGTCAGGCAGCGTAGTACAACACGCTGAGGAACAGAGGAAGGACGGAGTGTCATGTCGTGAGTGCCCGGGGACAGCCGGAGCACGCGGACGATGAACACGAGGAACACGAGCACGGACAGCAGCTCTAGGCTCAGGCTCAAGGTCAAAGCTAGACTCAGGCTCTCGACGCTCAGGGGTGGAAGCACGAGTCTCAGGCTCTCGACGCTCAGTCAGGGACTCTGACACTGCAGTGTAAGGAGCAGGAGCAGGCAGTGGGGAGTGTGGTAGCAGCGGTGGCTGTGACTGGTCCACTAGCGGACACAGCAACGGAGGAGTAGTACCTGCCACAGGGAAGCCAGGAGCACCTGGCGGAAGACTGAGAAGGTGGCGAAGAGCACCAGTAGCTCCCGTACCTCCAGCACGAGCAGCTCCTCCAGTACCCCCAGCAACACCTCCAACACCAGTAGCACCAGCACCTCCAGCACCACGAGCTCCGACAGCGCCAGCACCTCGAGCACAAGTAGTACCTCCAGCACCTCCAGTGCCTCCAGCTCCAGCTCCAGCGCCTCCAGCTCCAGTAGTACCACCACCTCCAGGGTCAGCAGCTCCCGCAGCTCCAGCACCAGTAGCACCAGCACCTCCAGTGCCACCAGCTCCAGTACCTCCAGCACGGGCAGCAGCTCCAGTACCTCCTGCACCAGCAGCACCTCTAGTACCTCCAGTAGTACCTCCAGCACCTCCAGCACCAGCAGCACCTCCTGGACTAGTAGCTCCAGCACCAGCAGGACCGTACCCTCCACCACCAGGACTGCCTCGCAGACGACCCACGCACGAATCGCCTGCGGCGAGAGCGACTCAAGTAGAGCAGGCTGCGGTGGCTGTCCAGCTCCAGTACCTCCAGTAGTGGTAACTCTAGCACCTCCAGCTCCAGAAGCACCTCTAGTACCTCCAGCTCCAACACCTCCAGCACCAGCAGCAGCTCCAGTACCTCCAGCACCAGTAGTACCGCTAGTACCTCCAGTAGGACCTCCAGGCCTAGTAGCTCCAGTACCTCCAGCTCCAGGACCTCCAGAAGGACTCGCAACACCCCCAGAGTCAGCACCCGAAGTCTCAGCACCCCCAGAGTCAGCACCCAAAGTCTCAGTACCCTCAGTTCCAGGACCCCCCAGGCTCAGCACCCTCAGTCCCAGCACCCTCAGTCTCAGCACCCTCAGGCTCAGTACCCTCAGTCACAGCACCCTCAGTCCCAAGCACCCTCAGTCTCTGCTCCAGCGTCCACAGCAGTAGGCTGTAGAGGCGGCGAAGACGACAGAGGTGGGAACCCAGGGGGGGTAGCCAGACGAGGAGAGCGGGCACCCCCAGACTCACCACACCCAGCCCCAGCTCCAGTAGTCTCAGCTCCAAAGTCCACAGCAGCAGGCTGCGGAGGCGGCGAAGACGGCCGTGGCGGAAACCCGGGGGGGTGGCCAAGCGAGGAGTGTGGCGAGTGGTCGCCGTGTCGTCGGCGACGGCGTCACCCCCCTCAGGTGAGTCAGAGGAGTCAGAAGAGATCTCAACTGGCTCATCCAAGGGGGGTGGGTCTACCTGGGACACACCTGAGGGAGCAGGACCCTGTGGGGGGAGGGGGTATACCGGGGGGGGGACTGGTACCAGGAAGAGGGGTGCAAGGGGGACCGGGTGGGATGCGTGCGGGTGAATCGGTAGTAACAGACCGACTCGTCGAAGGTGACGTCCT